GTAATGTTTCAATGATGATATTGAATACCCATGATTTTGAAATCCACTAGTAAAAGTGTTTGACTAGTGTAGTGTTTGATAGAAATCCTCCAACCGTGTTTGAAATTTAATAAAGCTTTAGATAAAGCTAATGAGGCATATAGCTTCATGGGAAGATTTCTTGGTGGCGACAATTTGTATCTATCAAATGAATCGATTATTGGCTAGCAATATTTGATAAGCTACTAAGTCACATGTAATGGTAGGTCTAGACGTATAAGTCATAGACATAATACCATAGCAAACGATCTTAGTAGTGTAAACTCGTGGTACCTTTAAGAGATTTACGAGAGATTAAGTATACTACATATCGAAAGGAATGAAATTAAAGCCTATTACGTTAGAATTCTTGTAATGATAACCTTACCATGTTGACTGGAGATCTCAAGATCTTAGTTCAAAGGAACAACTAAGTTATGAGGATTCTAATGAAACACTAAGGAAAATAATTTCCTAACTTATTCATATGATATTAAAATGCTTTCTGCAAAGTTGCAAGAGGTTAAGATAATATTTTAATGATTCACATATCTTGATTAAGTCAAGTGGAGTATGGCAGAATACTCTTAATAGGAGGTCACCTATGTGAGTGTGAAATGGGATCGCTTCAATGGGAATTATTCAAGGCTTAAATTCTATAAACACTCACAGAACCAAGAAGGGTTTAGGGCCAAAATAAACCAAGTCATGAGAACCATGAACGGTTTAGGGAAGACATTGTGTGAGTATCGTTGCCTTGACTTACACTAAACGTTAAATGGTTCAAGACATCACGTTTACCAATTAGCCGAGTAAGTCCGATAATATTTCACCAAGGGAGGTTCAAGGCCAGAAGCTACCATCCTGATGCAGAGTTTTTCCGCTCTCTCTACTAGTGTCATTGACACGACCCGCCCCGATCACCCAACCCCTATAACAGAGGTTAACTGACACGACCCGTCCCGATCACCCTAATGGATCCGACACGTGTCGTGCACCGATGGTAGATACCAGCGAAGTGCCGAACCCATCATCAAGGCAAACTTGACATGCTTTGACTGTTATAATTTTATAAAAATTTCGACAAAATTCCCTTTGATAAATGGACTAAAACTACCTGAAAATAAAATCAAATATCCCAAACATGTACATATCATTTGAAATAGGGTACACCGGCCCCTCAAAATATCATCTATTCAAATACAACACTGGCAATTCGACTTTTGCAACAATTCTAAACCACAGTACCCAAAATGCATAATATATATACAAAACATAGCAAGCCCAACACATGGAACTGATTTATGACCAAAAGAGGTGTCTATCCCAAAATATGAACTCTTAAATTGAAAAGATAGTTCATACAATGCTTGACAATCTATAGCTCAACTTGATAGATCAACTGGCTCAGTAGTGTTCAACTCAGCTACTATCTGATAAGAGAAATAGTGATAAAAATGGGAGCCTATAACTCAGTGAGTAGATATTTGCAAAAATATAATTTTCCATTCATAAAATCTTTCAGAAAACCGACATATAGCATAAAATTTCTTTTCACAAACATATAAACTAAAATATTTATTCTTTAAACTGAATAGGCTGAGTTCTATAGCTTAAAATCTGATGATACAATCAAAACTAAAATATACTGTAATCATAAACATCTTTATTCTGTATGCTGCATTTCTAAAATCTGATAAGTTATGTGATACTGAAACATCACACCAAAAATGAACCCGAAATAACCATACTCGTGAATCGATTAATCTCGATATACATAGCAAGGTTATTCAATTCTGAAATTCTGTAATTCTGGTCGTACGCGCCCAAAGCTATAAAACGGTCATACACTATGAAAACACATTCACAATAGTGCAGAGTGGGTAAAATCACTATACTGATCATACGCTGTGGAAACACATTCACACCAGCGCAGAGTGGGTAAAATAACTATATGAAGTCATACACTGTGGAAACACATTCACACAAGTGCAGACGAGGGTAAAATCACTTGGGTACTTTCTGGTAGTTTTAAAATAACTTTGAATATACCGAAATATTTAATACTAAAATAACATGCTAATAAAATGATTTACTAAATTGAATTTAACTTTTAAAAACAATTGGTTATAAATCAACTTTATTCTGAAAATCGTATCACCTGGAATATATAACAAGATGACTAATCAATCACTATTAAGAGCCTGTTTGGGAGTGCTTTTGAGAATTATTTTTTAACCGTTAGGAGAAAAATGGGATCTACCTATGAGAGAAGAAGTCAAATATGACTACTGGAATAGTGAAATAACGGTCAAAAAATCAATTTTTTGGGTCAAAAAATCGGGCCCAAACAGGTCCTAAATTAAGAAACTTTAAGATCTACTTCTATAATACTTAACTAAAATTGGTCGATTCTCGAATGAATTTCCCAAATATTCTTTTGATGAATTGGAGCTAATCCCACTTTCTAATCCCTTTTCTAATAATTAATTCATCAACAAAACCTTCTTCCCAAGTTTAAAACTAATTTTAGTCTCCAATCTAGTGAAACTAGTAACCACAATTCCATCCATTTTATATACATTTGTTTCATAAAATTAACTCCCAAGTGAAATATTCCATTTATATAATCATTTCCACAATTAGTTAATCAAAAATCCCAAAATCAAATTCTAGGGTTTCCCCAAAAAAATTAACATCTCCTTACCTTAATGTAGATAGAAATTCAAGAATCAATAACTTGAGCTCCAAGTAGTATTCCTCTCAAAAAAATCTGAAAATTTCGAGCCAAAATAAAACCCCTAGAATTTTAACATAATTCATACTTTATCACTTGAAAAAAAATGGAAAAAATTCAACCGAAACTTGAAGAAATTAGCCTTACCTCTTTTCCTCTTCTTCCCTTTTCTTCTTTCCTTCTTTCCCCTTTTCTTCCCTTTTTCCCCAAATTTTTCCTCTCTTTTTCGGTCCCAGCTTGCTGCTGTTTTTTCACTGTGTGTGTGTGATTTGGAGTGAAAAATGGGTCAAATGTTGACTATAAATTCCACTTATTCAAAAATTGCAAGGAAAGTGCTCTTACTCCAATTTTATATCACATTTAATCCTAAACTTCCAAAAATATATAAGTAAATTCCAAACTTTGAAATGTATCCAATTTAACCTTCATATTTTGTTAATTGCAAAATAAACCCAAATAAAATAATTTGGTCAATCAAGTCCTAATAAAAATGATTTATTTCATAGAAGTCTTCATTTGTCTTGACCTTGAAAATTTCACTATTGACTTTGACTAGATAAAAATGTGGATTGTAACATTAACACAGTAGAAAAAGCACCCATTTTGGTGCCTGATTATTACCATTCGCTTTTTATAGGAACCTGCAACTGACTGAGTCTCAGTCATCTTCGGATGCTCTCTCTCTTGGGTGAAAACCCAAAACAACCATTTCTGTATCGCATCCATAAAGTCGAATAGTATGAAANTCATCTTCGGATGCTCTCTCTCTTGGGTGAAAACCCAAAACAACCATTTCTGTATCGCATCCATAAAGTCGAATAGTATGAAACTAATTGTCCGTGTTTTGGAAGAAGCATGGAAAGATCATTACATATCTTTTTCATAACACTAAGTAATCACTAGAGTGCTAAGAAACAACTTTTTGATCTTCAAGCACACTTAGCACAAACATACTCTTATTTTGCCAGATTTTCCAAGGACTTCTCCAGGTAGAGCCGAAGGACAGAAAAATAACTCATGCTTTGTTTCTATTTATCAAGGAAGAAAGATATATACCAACTGATGCTATTTGTTAAAAAAAATAAAAAATAAAAAAAAAAAGACCGAAAACGAATAAAAATTATCGCATCCATAATGAAAAGTGTGAACATACAGGATGGGTGGCACCAATGGAGTGCTTCATGGCCTGACCAGTGGCTTTATTAATTAATGCGAAGCTGGGGAACCCCTCTTCGTCCTCGACTCTTGTGCTGTACTTCTCATCTTTAACCCACTGATGAAATAGCAAGATACACCATAAATCGATCGCTTCTAACAGAAATTGAAGAAAGAGAAACGAGTGGATTGCAATTTTTGTAGCCTAAGAAGGTACCTGAAATGGGTTTGATGGATTGGAAAGGGCAAGGATAACCTTCCCATCCCTGATGGTCAAATTTGAATAAACCCTAACAAAGGGTTTGTTAGTGAATTCCAGTTTATGGTGGCTACGGTGATGGACAAACAGAGGAAGTTGGGTTCTTGGTGATGGTGATGCGGATTTATTTCGCTTTGATGAGAGAGAATTGGCGGAGGCGGAGGATACTCTGCTCCCCCTATTTGGGAGCTGTGATAAACATTGCTGACTTGCAGTAGTCAAGGAGGAGGTGGCGCATTTTCCCCGTAATAGGGAGACGGTGGAGCATTTCCGCCATACAAGGGAGGCGGTGGCGGATTTTCATTGTAATAGGGAGGCGCAGGAACATTCCCCTCAAAAAAGGGAAGTGGCGGACTTTCAACGGAATAGCCATGCGGTGGCGAACTTTCACCGTAAAAGCGAGGCGGGTGTGGTTGTACTGGTGGCGGATACTCTTCTTCTCTCTTGTCTCAACCATTGTGTGAGTGGGGGTAGCCATGGGGGTATTCCATTTCAACTAGAATTCTACAAAGCTGGGGACCTTTAGTCCTTGTAGATTTTAAAGAGTTAAAACTCACTGTACGGTGAGAAGTTTCTCGCCCCTTTTCTTTTTCTTTTTTTAATTTTTATTTTTATATACTATTTGACAAAAATAAAGTTTTGAATAATAAGTTTATTGAAGATGTGTGATAAAAAGTAAGAAAA